TCAAGAAGCTTGCATCATATTTAACTGAAAAATAGAGACCATTCACCAAAAGCTCCCTCTTCTTCCTTTTTCCTCATCTCACATCACCCAGATGCTTTCTACCATTATCTATCTCCTTTACCGCTGTTTTACATGAAGAGGTGACTTCTTGTCATGACAGATACTTCTACATGCAGAAGTGATCCCATTGCCTTTCTTCTTCTCTAGCAGATTACCCCTTCTATCATCCCTGCTCTTTCACTTACCATTCTTTCTTTGTCTGCTGGCTATTTCCCTGCTGCTGAGAAACATGCCCTTGCCTCCCTCATCCTCAAAAAAACTCTCACTTGATCCATCCATCCCTGCTAGCTCTCATCCCATATCTCTCCTCTCTTTTGTGGCTAACTTCCTTTAGGGTGGGCCATCTACCTGTTATTTCCTCTCAACTCTTACTGTGCAATGCAAACTGCTCTTTCCAAAGTTACTGTTTCTTATTTGCCAAACAGAACGGTCTTTTCTCAATCCTCATCTTTCTTGATTTCTCTACAGCCTTTGACACTGGTCAGTCACTGTAATAATTTTAAATTTTATATTGTTGATGTGATAGTTATTGCTTGATGTCATAGTTATTCTTTGGTTTTATATTCATAATGATAATATTCCAAAATGGAGTCATTTAGGCTAAGCAGTTCTAATGTTTACAGGGACAAATAGGAAAAAACAGATAGTTTGTACTTTTCTACCATTAATTAAATCTATGTCAGTTGGGTAAGGCTAGCAGATTTTTGATTGAATGAATTTTCAACCTGCTGCAAGGGTCTTAAGTCATGCTGTTTCTGCTGCCTTGGTTAACATTAGATCCTCCTACCAGTTTGTAGTTTAGATAAAGAAACAACCCCTATCCAAACTTCACTCAAGCTTAGTATCAATAAGGGATGCTAAGACTTTTGTCAGATGCCTTTAGTGAGGACAAAAATGGCATCAAGGTCAGCTGCACAGATGGCAAATTGTTTAACTTGAAAAGGCTATAAGCCAAGACTAAAATGGAAGAAGAGTTGGTGCATGACTTTTTGTTTGCACTGAATGCAGCCTCTGAGGTTGAGATGGGTCGATTCTCAGCTGCTTGTGCTAATTTTGGCCTAACAATAAATACCAAAAACAGCAGAGGTTCTCCACCAGCCAGCACCACACCATCCATTTATGGAACCACTTGTTATGGCAAATGGAGAAATTTTGAATGCTGTGGATAAGTTCACTTACCTTAGCAGTGTACTTTCCAGAAATATACACATAGATGATGAGGTTGACACATGCATTGCCAGAGCTAGCTCAGTTTTTGAGAGGCTCTGAAGGAAACTGTAAGAGAGTAAAGGCATTAGACTGTCTACTAAACTGAAGGTCTACAGAGCCATTGTGCTGACTTCATTGCTATATGCCTGTGAAACCTGGACATTATACCAGCCTCATGCCAGGAAACTGAATCACTTCCATTTGAATTATCTGAGGAAGATTCTGAAGACTACTTGGCAAGATAAAATACTGGACACTGAGGTCCTTTCTCGAGCTGAACTGCCAAGTATTCAGACTTTATTGCAGAGCACCACTCTGATAGGCTGGACATGTTGTTCAAATGCCAAATGTACATTTGCCTAAAAGATTATTTTATGGAGAGCTCATGCAAGGCAAGCTCACACATGGCAGTAAGAAGTGACACTCTCAGGGGCAGCTAGGTGGTGCAGTGGATAGAGCACTGGCCCTGGAGCCAGGAGGATCTGAGTTCAAATCCAGCCCCAGGCACATCATACTCACTAGCTTTGTGACCCTGGGCAAGTCACTTAATCCTGATTGCCTTGCCCCCCTTCCCCCCAAAAAAGTGACACTCTCAAGATCTTTCTAAAGAACTTTGGAATCGATTGAGACATGTGAGATACTGGCACAGAACTACGCAGCATGGCATGCCCACATCAAAGAAAGCATTGTTCTTTATGAGCAAAACAGAATTGCAGTACCTCAAAAGAAACATGAGATCTGTAAATTTGGAGACATCTCCACTCCAAACATGTATGTGGACTATTTGTGCCCAGCCTGTGGTAGAACCTTCTGGCTTCTGCTGGTCTGCTCAGCCACATTTGGACATGCTGTACGTTGGCCCCGACACAGTGATGCCGTTTTGGTCCTTTGTGAGAATGAAGGACGACAGCCAGCTAACTGCCATCTCGGGGTCTGATTGGAATGCCCTCTCCTACAGCTGGCACCAATTCTCTGTTCTTAGCCAAGTCCATTCTTAGGGTCTATAATTTTGCCACCTGGACCCCAACTTTGAGCAGGTTTTCTTCCCCACAGGGCTACTTCACCCTCCAAGTGGGGTGAGTTAATTGCATGTGGGGACAAACCTCTGTCTGTTTCTATTGCCATCGTGTATATATGCTTTGTTTGCCTGCTTGCTGCATCACGTAACAATAAGCTTGTGTTTACATCATTTTCCTGAGTACCATATGAACCCAGATATTTGCTTTACCCTGAGCCATGAGGCCAAATAAAGCAATCCCTGTCTTCTCCTTGATCCTCTCTTCTTTCTAGGTGTTCTTGACACTACTCTCTCCTGGTCCTCTTCCTACCTACCTGACCTCTCTTCATTCTTCTTTACTGGTCCTTCATTCCCGTTATTCCCACTAACGGTAGAGGTAGACTCTATCCTGGGCCTTCTTCACTTCTCCCCCTACACTGTGTCACTTGGTGATTTCATCATCTCCTGTGGATTGGATTATCATTTCTATGTTGGTGGTTTTCAAATCTGCTTATCCAACCCCAATCTCTCTGCTGACCTTCAGACTTGCATCTCCAACTACATATTGGATATCTTAAACTGGGTGTCCCTTGGACATCTTAAAACCTAATACATTCAAAATTTAACTCATTTTATTTCTCTCCAAACTCTTGCCTCTTCCTAACTTCCCTATACCTATTGTTGAAAGCACCACCTTCCCCCTTACCCTTGTTCATTCTGGATGTCATTCTTGACTCCTTACCCTCTTTCCTATCTCCATATCCAGTCTTTTGCTAAGACTGTTGATTTTACTTTGCAGCATCTGTGCATAGGCCCCCTTCTCTTCTCTAACCTTGCCATTATTCTGATACGGGCCTTCATCGCCTCATTACACAACAAGCAGTAACCTGATGATTGTCTGCCTGCTGTGGGTCTTTCTCTACTTCAGTCTTTCCTCTATTCGGTTCTCAAAGTGATCTTCCTAAAGTATAGGTCTGTCCATGTCACTCCCCTCTTTGATAATCTTTAGAGGCTTCCTATCACTTCCTGGATCAAATATAAAATCCCGTTTATTGTTCAAAGCCCTTCATAACCTACCTATCCCTACACCTTTCCGGTCTTCTTATTCCTTACATTTTCCACATACTCTGTGATCCAGTGACACTGGCCTCCTTGTTCTTTGAGCAAGACACTCCATCTCCCGACTCTGATAAATGGCTGTCTCCCTCCTCTGCTCCACCATGCCTGGAATGTTTCCCTTCTCATATCTACTTCTTAGCTTTCCTGGCTTCTTTCAAGTCCCAGCTAAAACTTCACCTTCTGCAGGAAGCCTTTCTTGGCCCTCTTTAATTCTAATGCCTTTCCCTCTGTTGCTTATTTCCATTGTGTCCTGTCAGTAGCTTGTTTGTACATAGTCATTTGTATGTTGTCTTCCCCCATTAGATTTTAAGCTTTTTGAAGGTGGCAGTTTTGCCTTTCTTTGTATCCCAAGCACTTAATACATTACCTTGTTCATGGTAGATGCTTAATAAGTGTTTATTGACTGACTAGGTGTGAAAGCCAGCAGAGGATCCATCATTCAGTCTAGTTAGTGGTTTGCCTTTGTTTATGAGATTATTAGAGATTTTCCGTAGACAAAGATGAAGAAGAAATATTGGGGAAAAAAATTCTTGAAGTATTGGTTGAGCAACAGTCTGAAATAAGCAAGTTCTCATTCATTGTTTGATTCTTAATGCTTTTGTTGTAAACTCCTTGGGAATAGGGTCTTTTATCCCATATACCCAATCCAAGGATTTGGACATAGTAGGTACTTGAAAAGTACTTGCCAAATGTTCACTTTAGCAGCACATATTTTAAATTAGAATGATACAGAGAAAATTAGCATGGTTTCTGTACAAGGATAACATGCAAATTTGTGAAGTGTTCCAAATTTAAAAAACGAAACAAAACTTGTTGAATGAATGAATAAATTTCATCTGTATTTATATAATAATAATAATAATAAATGGCTTATAGTCTATAGGTTTTTTTATTGTTTACAAGAAGTTGCTTTTATAACAACCCTTTGAGGCATAAGTAGTATACATGTTTCCCTGTTATACAAATGAGGAAACTAAGGCTAAGAGAAGCTGCTTGGATGCAGCAAGGTTGTGTATAGTGAGATGCTGGGCTTGGGAGTCAGGAAAACTTAAGTTCAAATCCCACTTCATATACCTGGTGGCTGTCAGGTGACCTGGCAGGGTCACTAAACCTCTCTTAGTCTCATCTGGAAAATAGTGCAAATAGTACTTGGGTTGCTGTTGGGCTCAAATGAGAAAATATTTATAAAATGCTTTGCAAACCTTAAAGTGCTATATAAATGTTAGCTATTATTTTCCTCAAATGATTAGTCTGTGGCTACACGGATAGTGCCACTTTATATTAGAACACAGATTTCTTGACTGAAAATTCAGTGCTTTTGCCATGGTACCATGTTGGTTTTCTCTATGTACAGTATACACTTAAAACTAGGAATTTCATATTTTCAGCATAAGCACATTCCTATGTAGAGAAAAACATACAAGGTGATCAAATTATAGTCAATTAGTGGGTGACCTTATAGCATCCCTATTTCTACCGTGATATGCCATATTTTTTTTAATAAAGCCTCATCAGAAGTGTTTCTGAACTGTCAATATGTATTAAGATTGTATGTGTTTTTTTAAAACGTTTAACTTGGTGCAGGTTACAAATAAATATACCCTTGCTATTACAGAGACTTGCCACAGTATGGACAAAAGCAGTGGCAGTCCTACTTTGGGCGAACTTTTGATGTCTATACCAAACTCTGGAAGTTCCAACAGCAACATCGGTAAGAAACTGAATCCTGTTAGATTTTCTAGCTAGAGATCATTATTGCAAACCACAAAGGATTTGTTGAGACAATGACTACTACTTCTTGTGATGATAATTTAGTCTTCATAAATTGCTGTGGCCATAAAAATCATCACTTACTGATCAGCCTTCAGGGGCTGAGCCCTCTTTAGCTAGTTGATAGTCAAAGATAGTTCATACATAATCTGTTGGGTATGGGGAAGTAGTACTGGAAGTCTTTTCAGCTGACTAAGATCTACTAGCTCTACTATTGCAGTTTTCAAAAACCTGGGTAACCTCCACACTATGATGACATAGTGAATATGTTTTAGAGGATTAATGACTGAATGAATGAGTTAAAAAAAATATTAAATGCTTACTATATACCATGTATTGTGTTAAGCTCTGGGAATAAAAATATTTTAAAAATCGACTCCTTATTTTCAAGTAACTTATTTTTTAATAGGGAAAACAATATACATAGGGAAGAGATGACTAGGTAAGGGTTTTGTTTTTGTTTTTCCTGGGGGACAAAAATGGAATGGGGGGGTGTGCATTGGGGAGGGATTAGGCAGATGATGAGATAGCTGGATGGAATGTGATACTGGAGAGGTAGCCAGTAAATATAGCTTACTAGATTGTACATCCTTAGTCAGTAGTCACTGGGTTGGGCCCTTGAATGGGAGCTCCAAAGATGAGTGGATTAACTTCTTCATAGACCAGTGCATACATTTAAGAAGACCTGAATATGGAGGTCCAAGTGTTGAGTCTGGTGTGGGTAAAGGGTGCTAGTCTAGGTAAGGAGGAACAGATTGGTGATGGCAGATGGTAAGAAGGTCCAGTGAATGGCTGGATGGCCAGGGTAATTCTGCTTTCATTCTGATTGTGACCCTCATTATTTTGGTGGCCAAAGACACCACATTTCATTGTCCTGCCTCATATGTGTGTGTGTGTGTTTTTACTGGCCGAATGATAGTAATGGTTTGCTGGATTTTTATAAGTTAGAATAGGAAGAAAGAAATGTAAAAATGAATATTTGAAAATGTAGCACATTTATCTGACCTTTACAGAAATGTTACTTAACATTTGTAATTGTGCAGAAGGAACTCCTGTAATAAATAGATCATATTTTTAAATTTTAAAATAGTTTTCCTTGTTACTTATAGAATGACATTCATAGAATTTTTAAGTTGGGAGGTGCCTTTGAGAGCATCTAATCCAACCCTACTAATTTTAAAGATAACTTTGTCAAGGTAACATAGTGGCAGTCTTGAACTTAGAGTTTTCTAATATAATATGCCAAGCATGATTTTACTTTGCATTGGTTTTAACTTTGTCCAGCATACTGTATCTTTGGGATGTTTCATCAGCTTGTCCTAGATATCACTTGTCCCATCTAGAATCCATAAGACTAGATAATGAATGCTTTTTGAAGTGGTCATATAGCTCACTTTGAAAATTTTGAATAGTACAAATGTATTGTACTTGTAAACTTGTGTTTTCTTCCCTCTTCTTCAACCCTCATGTCTTCTCCCCTCCCTTTTTTTTTAAACAGTCAAGTCTTGGATAATCGGTATGGCTTGAAGCGGTGGCAGATAGGGGAAATTGCTTCCAAGATTGGACAGCTTTACTACCATTATTAGTAAGTAAACAACTTATATATAGACTCATGTGTTATACTGAGAGGAGTGAATTAAAACATGTAGGAGTTGAAGTGTGGTTTAACCTCGATTCCTAGTGTAGGAAGAGAGCAGCTAATCAGACAGAACATTCTGAGAGCTTAGAAAACAAAGAACAGATGGGGATGACATGAAATGACTGACACTAAAACTACATGTCAAGGAATCACCAGTCTGTCTCAGAGACCTCCATACTTCATGGATTGTATTTGCAGACCTATATGTAGTGTTTAGGAGTCTGCTCATAATTTCAGACAAATGATTTTTCATTTGTCTGGAGGTTTTATTACTCTTCTAGGAGCTCTAATGATATGTGTGTGTATACATGTACATACATGTCTGTATCTTTCTATATATTACATACATATACATGTATATATATTATATATATTTAAATATGTATGTTTATATATTTAAATTTATATATAAGTATGTATATTTAAAAACAGAAAACTTACAGAGTAATGAGGTATTTATTAAAAATGATGTGTGGTGGTAATCATTTTATAGTTGACTATGTCCTTAGAACAATAATATCTGGGAAAAGGGGGGGACCCCCTTTTGGGAGCCTCTCTTCATCATGTAGTTATTTATTAAGTTAAAAAAAAGCTTTACATATACAACATAAGGTAGGTATAGCTGGACAAATCATTCATATAAAAAAGACATGAGGATTTAGTGAACTATGAACTCAAACAGGAGTCAGTACTGTAACATTGCAGCCTAGGATGGCATCAGCATTTTGAGTTGCATTAATAAGAGCATAGTGTAGAATAAGAGTGGAGATAGTCTCCTGGCACTTGGCTGTAGTCAGATCACATCTAGAATATTGTGGCTGATTCACAGCAATGTATTTTAGGAAGGATATTGGCAAGTTGAAGTTTTTCTGAGCATAGTGATTTCTTTACAATTTCCTGTAATTCCTATAATATATGAGTCCATGATGTATGGCTAAGACCAGCCCTCTTTTGGGTGCCATCAAAAGTATTTTGAGAGGCACCAGACTCCCTTTTCCCCCCTCACATATGTTCTCCACAAATATGCTGCTTGCAACCTTCACAATTAAAACCACTTTTTGGTTACATCTATTGTCTCAGGAATGCCATTATTAATATACAAACTGCTCATTTAGGAGCCATTAAAATGCAGAGCCCAAGAGACTAGGCAACTCCTAAAATTCATTGGCAGAATTCCTACAGAACCATAAAATCTTTGAGATTTATGTCATCTAGTCCAACCTGTCTCTGAACAGGAAACTTTTCTACAATATTCTGAAGAAGTCATCCAACTTTTGCTTAAAGACTTTCAATAATGGAGAACTCACTAATACCTGAAATAGTCCATTCCTTTTGTGGACAGATTCTTAGTATGTTTTTTCCTTTTATCAAGCCAAAATTTTCTATTTGACTTCTACCCCTTGTTTTCAATTCTTCCGTTTCAAACCCAAGCAAAACAAATGTAATCTGTTCTAATATGACTTTTCCATAGTAGCCCTTTAAATGCTGGAAGGCAGCAATTCTTACCCCAGTCTTCTCTTCTCCGAGTGGCATGGTCACCATCCTCTAGTATCAGCTTCCCAAAATGTAGCTAAGGACTGAATCAAGCAGTCAGGGATTGTTCTGATGAAGAGGGATAAGTATTTAATACTCACTGAGCACATTAACTTTGATTACGTTTAAAACTAGATGAAGCTAGGTGGTGCAGTGGAGAGAGTACCAGCCCTGGAGTCAGGAGAACTTGAGTTTAAATCCAGCCCCTGACACATAACACTCACTAGCTGTGTGAGTCTGGGCAAGTCATTTAACCCCCCAACTGCCTCACCAAAAAGCAAAAAAAAACCCAAACAAACCAAAAAACAAGACTAGATGAAAATAAGGTCATGAAAGAAAGAGATAAAAAGGACAGATGAATTTTGATTAAGAAGTTGTAGATCAGGAACTATTTTAGAACATAACTATCTAGGGAATGACTAGAGAAAAACCTGTCCTCGGATGTCTCCTTTCCCTGTTATGAGTTGATGAAATTATGCTAGTGATAGCAGTAGGATAAGAGAAAGAAATTAGGGCATAAACATAAGGAAAGAAGAGATAAAATTACTCCTATTTATTTGATGATATGATGATTTACTTAGAAAACTCCAGAGAAACATCAAAGAAACTAAGGGAGAATTGGCTAACTTTGAGTGAATTAGTCAGATACAAAACAACTAACAAAAATAATGAATATTAAAGTTCTCATGTTTTAAAAAAAATTTAAAAAAGATTAAGTATCTTTCACTAGGTAATAGTGGAAGACCATGGGGGAACTCTTAAACAAGGTAAAAAGGAGATGCCAAAGAATAAAATAAATAACTTCAGGTACATGAAAGTGGAAAACTTTCACAAGCACAAAATTAACAAAAGAAGGGGAGCATTTGACTGGAAAAAATTTTTTTTTATCATCTATCTCTCAGAAGGGTCTGATATATCCAAGATATATAGGCAACAAACATAAATTAATGAGGCCAAAAACTTATTTTCTAAGAGATAAGTGGTCAAAGGGTAAGAACAAATGGTTCTCAAAAGAATTGCAGATCATTAGCAACTACATAAAAGATTGCTCCACATCATTAATATTAAGATTTTTTTTTTTGGTGGGGGGCCCAAGATGGTGAAAGAATAGCAGGAAGAATTAAAGTGAGCTCTCTTCCACAGTTCCTCCAAACAGACCTTTAAATGTATAAAACCTAATCCTGCTTGGAAAATCCAAAAAAAAATTTTACACTAAGTCATTTTTCCAGTTCATGTTGTAATAGGAAAATAGACAGAGAGATCTGTGGCAGCTGGGGAAGGGGTGTAGATAGGAACAGCCACAGGGAGAGGCTGTGTACTAGGGCAAAGAGATTACAGATCTCAGAGAGCAGACTAAGCTTGTTCATAGTGCTGGAAAAGGTGCCAGTGTGCAGCTCTGTTGCTCATTATCCTTTTCTAGGTAACATATCCAGGGTGGATGAGGAGGGGACCTGTGCCTAGGGGTGGCATTCCAGTATGAGGAGAATTTACACGCCGCAGGCTATGTATAGAACAAGGAGCAAAGTCAGAATCAAGCCATAGCAGCGAACAGCTGTCTGCGGGGTTGGAGGATGGGAGTGGAGAGAAGGTCTCAGTTCCAATTTCCAACCCAGTCTGAAACCTGCAACAGAATAACCAGGACAGGAATCTCAGATCTAAGGGGAGCCTATAATTTTGTTACTCGGAACCAACAGAGCTTTCCAGTTGTCTAGTGGTGGCCGAATCCAAGCGCATGCTACTAAAACCTCAAATAAGGGGATCCCATGGTCAGGAACTTGTACAGTTCAGACCAGGAGGGCAAAAATTAGACTTTGCTGTGAATCAGACCACTTTGGGAGCACTGAAAGTTTTTAGGTACCTAGCCCAAATTGTTTATAAGATCCTGGAATAACAACACATTTACTCCCCCAAGAAAGCTACAGCAAGATCAGACCAGCCATTCCCTCCAGAAATACACAGAGCTCAGGCCTAACATAAAATCCAAAGTCGGGAAGAAGTCTGGAAGAAAGAGAAGAAAAAAGGAATGTCACCATAAAAAAACTATCATGGTGACAGGGAGGTTCAAGATACAAACCCAGAAAAAGAGAATGATTCCATTACATCTACAAGCAGAGCCTCAAAGAAAAACAGATCTTCAGCATGTTCAACTGGAAAGAGTTGAAGCAAGAGTTTAAAAAAGTTTTTAATCAATAAAATGAGTGTACTAGAGGAAAAAAATTGGAAAGGAAATGAGAGCTATAGGAGGAAGAAGTGGAAGGGGAATTAGCAGCTTGTCACAAGAGATACAAAATCATGCCCAAACAACAAATTCCTTGAAAATTAGAATGAATCAAATAGAAGTCAATGAATTCATGAAACAAGAAATGTTAAAACAAAGTCAAAAGACTGAAAAAGTAAAAGAAAATGTAAAGTCTTTCATCCAAAAACAACTGACCTGGAAGAGATTGAGGATAGATGATTTAAGAGTTACTGAATTGCATGAAAGATCTGACCAAAAAAAAAAGACTTGACATCCTATTTCAAGAAATATTAGGAGAAATCTTCCCAGTTCTCTTAGAACCAAAGACCAAAGTGGAAATTAAAAAAAAAAAACGTCAGTTACATCATGAAAGAAACCCCAGTAACAAAATTGCTAAAATCTAGAACTTCCAGGTCTAAGAACAAATAGTGCAAGCATCTTAAAGAAAGAATTCATATACTGAGGAGTCAAAGTCAGGATCACACATATTTTAGTAACCACCATTCTAAAGGAATGAAGAACTTGCAATACAATATTTAAGAAGGCAAAGGATATGGGCTATAGCTAAGAATACCTACCTAGCATAACTGATTATATTGGTGGGTGCAGGGTGGGAATGAATCTTTAATAAAATAAAGGACTTTCAATTATTCCTATGAAAAGGAGCTGCATAGGTACTTTGAAGTGCAAACACAGGAGTCAAAAGAAACACAAAAAAGTAAACGTGAGTGTAAGTCATAAGGAACTGAAAAAGGACAAACTGCTTATATCCTGATATGGGTTGATAATAATTGTGTTCTGTTTCCCCACCCCAACCCCAGAACCCTATCATTAGGGATCATAAAGGGAGATTAATTAGACTCAGAGCTTGGGAACAGTTCTATTATGTCTTAATGAATGAACGAAGGATGGAAAGTGAGGGGAAGAAGAACATACAGGGGGAGAAAGGAAGGGTGGAGAAAATGATCTCACATAATCAGGGCATATAAATAGAAGTTTATGCAAAAAAATGACAGAAGGGGTGTGGGAGGGGAGTGTACCACTGAAACCTAACTCATCTAAACCAGCCAAAGGAGAGAGGATCTCTCTCTCTCTCTCTCTTTCTCTCTCTCTCTCTCTCTCTCTCTCTCTCTCTCTCTCTCTCTCTCTCTCACACACACACACACACACACACACACACAACAAATACACACACGTACAGAAAAAACATTTTACCTAAGGGAAACAGGAGGGAAAAGGAAGGCAGGAGAAAGGAAAATAAGGAGAGCATATTAAGGGAGGGAACAGTCCTAAGCAAAACAAACACTAAGAAGTTCAAAAATCTTTGTTGTAGCTCTTCATGTGTAACAAAGAATTGGAAACTGAGGGGGTGACCATTAATTGAGGAATGACCAAACAAGATGTAGTATATAAATGTGATGGGATACTACTGGGTTGTAAGAAATGATGAAAGGGATGGTTTCAGAGAAAACTGAAAAGACTGATGCAGAATGAAGTAAGCAGAACCAGGAGAACAATTTATGCAGTGACGTCAATACTGTAAAAGCAAACAACTTTGAAAGACTTAAGAGCTCTGATCATTGTAATGACCAAACATGATTCTAGAGGACTCATGAAACATGCTGCCATCTCTTGATAGAAAAGTGAAAGACTGAGTACTATTTAAGATTTTTTTTTAAAAAAAGACATGAGGGGAAAAAAAGGCATGGACTATACAGGAATTTGTTTTGCTTGACTAAACATGTAGCAGGGTTTTTGTTTTTCTCAATTGGGGAGGGGCATGAGAGGGAGAGGTTTTTGCTAACTGAAAAAAATAAAAATTTAAAAAAAAGAAATGCAGATCAAAACAACCTTGAGGTTCTACTTTATACCTAGCAAATAGGTAAAGATGAGAAAAGAGGGAAGCAGTCCATGTTAGAAGGGCCATGGAAAGACAGATTCATTGATCCCCCTTTGGGGGATATATATGAATTGGTCCATCTGTTCTGGAAATGAATTTGGAATTATACTTATAAAGTGACTAAAATGTCACTTTTTAAAATGACCCAGAGATCTCACTTCTAGGTGTTTACCCTAAGAATACCCTAAGTGAAACAGAAAGAAAAGCTCCATATACACTAAAATATTCATAATTTTTATAGTAACAATATATAGATGCCTGTCATTTGAGGAATGGTTAAAAACAATGGTATATTAATATTTTGGCCTATTGTTATGCTGTAAGAAATGATGACTGAAAAATCTAGGGAGGGCTGGCTTGGTTGAAGCACTACAGTGGGACAAGTTAAGTAAGATGAGAATACTCCTTCAGTACTTGGACTAGGTGGTACAAGCAGGAGACACACACCTCAGAAAGTGTGAAGGTGAAGGAGCCTAAAGACAAGTTTTGCTTGTTTGACAGTTTCCCAATTTTTTTTTTACATTGAAGAATCTTGTTCATGCTCACAGCACTAGAGGTCATTTAGTTTAACCCATATCTAAAGTATGAATCCCCTTTACAACTTCTCCAACAAATGGTCATCCAGCTTATTTGAAGATGACAAATAGCTAGTTACTTTCCAAGGCAGCCCACTTTATTTTGGTGCAGTGCTGGTTTCTAGGAAGTTTTTCTTATATTGAGCTGAAATTTGAATTCAAGAAGGTGTGCTTCCTCCCGTTGAGGAGCTTATAGTATGGAAAAGAAGCTCCAATATTTTAGTAGACAGTAGAAGAATCAAGTACCTATATATTTGGAGAGTTTGAGATACACCCAGGTATAGAGAATTAAGATGATATATTTCTCCTACAGCCTGCGTACATCTGAGACCAGCTATCTGAATGAGGCCTTTTCCTTCTACTCTGCAATCAGACAGAGATCTTATTACTCTCAAGTCAGTAAAGAGGACAGGTATGGTGGAAGTAACACAATACCTATCAGTTTATAAATATGCTATCTAACACTCATGAACTACACTTTATTTAGTTTCTGCATCTAAGTGAGTGTATCACACAGAATAGTTGATTAATATTGATTGAATTGAATTATATAACAAAATTAGGTAGAAGAGCTCAAATTTTTGTGATATTTTTGTGTTCATCTGAATAACTTCAAATTTCAATTCTGTCAAAAGAGAGGAAAGATTTAAAGGTAACTTGATGATTAAATGTTTAATTGTGTACTTTGTAACCACTGTTTGACTGATTGTATCTTGAGATAACTCCGAGTACGAAATCAAAAGAGAATGATTCTTCTTGTTACTTATACTTTAGCAAAACTTGCCTGTACCTTTTGAAATTTAACAGCCTCAGTAGAGCAAACACAAGCTATCTAATATAGCCTCTTCATTGCCTAGTTTCAACCATTTCATAGTGTTATTGCCACAGGATAGTGATTATAGAATGTGTGTATGTATGTGTACACATATACATATATGTATGGATGGAAAGAATATATAATTTAATTATTGGTTTCTTCATATGATGAGGAAATGAAAACCTTGGAATAGTGATGATGATCCCTTATATTTATATAGAGTTTTACATGTTACAGAGTACTTCATAATCTTACTTAATCTTCGTAACAAGACAAATGTTATTATACCCATTTTATTGACAAGAAAACTGAGTTTCAAAAAAATTAACTGACTTTCTAAACCACATAGTTAATAAGTAGCAGTGTTGAGACTAGAACAAAGTTCTTAGAATGAGTATTGTGGTGTAAATTCAGTTGTCTCAAGGTGACACTGGGAAGCCTTTTATTTTCAGGCTGGTAGAGAAAGGATAAAATCTTTGTCTCTACTTTCTGTGTAATAACAATGCGTATTTGAGATTACACCAATGTGTTCTAAAGGACTAATTAGTGTCTTATAGCAATCCTGGCTTTCCTTATCATTTTTTTTTATACCCAGCGTCCTTATCTCTCTCCCTACTCTCAAAATAATTTGAATGCCTTGTAATTTTAAACATGGAGTGAGTGCAGCTTGTACTTGCCATTTGCTGTGCAGCTCACAAAAAACATGTCTTAATACACCCTCCTGAGTGAAACTCAGATCTATTAATTCTTGTAGAAGTCCATATGATGCCAACCACAGGCATGCACAGGTGCCACGCCTCATCCTTCTTCACTCATATAGCCTTTAATCATACAGGTTCGTAGGATCATAGAGATTCTTTATCCACACCTCCCCCTACCTTACTGTACTTGTACTATGGATCTCTCCAGCTTCATTTTATTCTTTTTAATCCTAGTAAGTTCTCCTTTAATTTCACTTTCTCTTTAGGTAGCCTTAAAATCAAACTTCCCTGCAAGCATTCAATTCTCAGCCAAGTAGTGTATACAGCTTTCCTACTGCTTTTGTATACTCTTCATTGCAAACTCCCCATGTGCCCTGCTGACCCCTGCTCCATTCCTATAAGCCATTTTTTCTCCATTTCTGGTCTTAGGCTGTATATGTATATAAAATATTCCATCTTGCCTTCCTTTTCTTTCCTTGTCTTCCATAAAAACTCCTTCTTTCTCCACCCTCCAGAAGTAGACTCTAACTTGAGGCTTGCTTCAGGTTTGGGAGATTTTTTATATATAATATGAACCCCTATGGCAAACAAGTCATGATGGATACTTTTTTTTCCTTTCATGTATCATAGCCAAAGCTATTTCAGATCCTGCCTGTACCACTAGCACTGCCATATATCCATATGAGGTCACCACCTTCTCTCACCAGTTCAGATATTGTCACAAGTATACCACAGAAGGAGAATGTTTGGGGAAAACTACTATATTATATCTCATCACAGGATCTGACATATTGATGATATAATGGCTTATGAAATGCCATGGAAAACAAGGGTGGTTAAATATGTATTTTTAAAAAAATGATAGTTATTTCATCTTTTCCTGCTGTAGACCTGAGTTGGTGGTTAAGAAGCTACGGTACTATGCAAGATTTATAGTGGTTTGCCTTCTCCTTAATAAAATGGATGTTGTGAAGGATCTGGTCAAGGTATGTGGAAATTGGAACAATGAAGAACTTCAAACCTATTATCACTATTTTTTCTTTTATTGATTATATATATATATATATATATATATATATATATATACACACACATGTATAGGCACATATATTTGTATATGTTGGTTATAAAATGATAAATAATTGAGCTTAGCCAAGATTTTCAACCTGGTTCTTCCATCCTAAGTAATAATAATGTATTAAACTGAGAGCCATTAATGTCCCATTTTGGGGGTATCAGATTGAATTTTAAAATGACTTCTATAGTCTCAGTTATTCTTAGAACCTAGGTTAGTTTTTTACTGACAGAGTAATAGCAAAAGTCAGTAATATCTCAAGCAAAAAAAATTTAAGTATTAGCCTGGCATTCAGAGCTCTCCAGACAGAGCTCTATCTGCTTTTCCAACTTTATCTCCTTATTAACCTTCATTCACTCTGTATTTCTGTCAGACTAGATTAGCCGTTATTTACTTGCTTCATCCTGCCCTCTTCCCATGCTTGTACATGTATACAGGTATGCCTGGAGAACACTACCTCCATCCCCTTCCCATCTCTACCTTTCAAAATTTTTACTTTTCTTTAATGTCTATCTCATCTGTCACTTTTCCCATAAATCTTTTCCTCATTCCCCAACCCCTCCATTCCCTCTACCCTCACCTAGAAGGATTCTCCCATTTTTCCTCTCTGTTCTGATATTCTGGTTGGATCTTTCCTCTGTACTTATATTCTAACTTAAGTAGTCAGGAGGAGGTGGCGTATGAACTGATGGGTATAAGAATTTCTCATGAATGTGCAATGCCATGTTCTAGTTTTGGCTCGAAGACATATTTAGGTTCCATTCTTTCCTTCTTTTTGGGAGTTTTGCAGTGGATTTATCATAGAATCTTAAAGTTGAGTTGAAAGGGCTCGAAAAGATTCTATGAGGTCATCTAGTTCAAACAGTACTAGAATAGTAATCCTATCTATAATATCCCTGGAATATAGTTATTCGGCTGTACTTAAAGAGCTTCTGTGATGACAACATTTTCAAAATAAGATTGTCTGCATATGTCAATTCCATTCTTTTAGGTATTGATGATTTTTAAATGTTCAGATACCCTTAAGTGAGTTGTCTAAAGTCTTTCTTCCTTTGTGGATTTTTAAAATCAGGAATTATCCGATGAAATTGAAGATTACACTCATCGCTTTAATACTGAAGATCAGGTGGAGTGGAACCTGGTACTTCAGGAGGTTGCAGCCTTTATCGAGGTTGGCTTACTTGGTTGTTTATATCAGACTATGCATTTGTATGGGGTCATGTTTTTACCATATAGAGTATGTGTATATGTTTGTCTTTGCACCAAAAAGAGAAGCTTTATTGTTTGCATCTATAAGTTTTTTCCTTTGTAAATATTTTTGTATAGTTAACTTGTGACTGGTTCTTTTTCTAGGCAGATCCAGTCATGGTTTTAAATGATGACAATACCATTGTTATCACATCTAATCGATTGGCTGAAGCAGGGGCCCCCTTGTTGGAGCAAGGGATGATTGTAGGACAGTTGACTCTGGCTGATGCACTCATTATTGGCAACTGTAATAATCAGGTAAAGAATTGCCATGGAATATTTAAATTTGACCTAGAAAAATAGGAGACTTGTCAAAGTAGGATTGGTAATATTATTTCCTAATCATTTATCACATTTTCTTGAAGTATATGAGGATTCAAAATCAAATATTAGATGCCTACTGTTTGCATAATACTATGTCAGGAATCTGGAAAGATACATGGCTTGATTAAAAATATGATCCTTGCCCCCTTTGAGCTTATAGTCCAGTACAGTGATAGAGCATCTACAGAAATAACTACATATGTTTCTTGGAAAACTTAGGAAGAATAGAATAGACCTCCGTCATTAAGCACAACCCTATATCTATGTATCAGTGTGTTGTGTTAGTTCCCTAGCATCCTATGCCTTTTAATTACTATAGCTTTTTGGAAGAAATTTAGATTTATTAAAAAAGAAGTATTTAAGAAAATGAATTTTGTACTTCAAGACCTTTTGTTATTTATTGTACAGATTTTTGAAATCTAACATTTAATTTTGTGTTGTAGACACTAAAATAATTAATTGCAAAAGTTCTTAAACATTTCTTAAATTTGAAAAAGAAGCAAAGTATATAATTTTGCAACTATCTTTTCTTTACAGAGAATTTTATCCCATGTTCTAGCAAAGTGGAGGGAACATGTGGTTCAGAACGAAAAATTTTAATGTTGTCATTTGGGAGTAAATCATAGAGCTGGAAGCTAATAAGTTAGATGATCTTGAAAGTGCCTTTTACCTCTTGCTCCTATGATGCTAGTACAATTTCTTCCTTTTTTCACAAAGGAGAAAACTGAGATCCAGAGAGTAGCCCAAAATCATTCATGTAGTAAGTATGGCTAGGATTTGAACATCTGATACCAAAATCAGTCTTCTTTCCAGTACACTGTTCACCTTTCTGTACTGTGCATATGCTGACATTCATGAAACCATGCTGACAGGGTCCTTCTTTTATAAGTTTATGTTGGATAACCTCAACTGGATCCTCATATCTATAAGGCAACCCTTTTAGACCTCCCCAAATAACTTATTCTCTCATTCAGTGTGATAATTCTTCCAAATCTTTTCATTTCTCCTCAAACCTCCCACTCTTCCTTCTGCCCCTACCCTCTCAATGGAGATGCTTGCCTCATATTTCACTGAAAAACTGAGGCCATTCACCAAAAGCTCCCTCTTCTCCCTTTCTCCTAATCTCTCATTATCCTTCTGCCTTCTGCCATTATCTCTTCCTTCACCCTTGTTTCACACAAAGAGATGATTCTTCTCCTTGCCAACGCAAATATTTCTACATGCACACGTGATCCAGTTCTATCCCCTCTTCTCCAGCAGATTGTCCCTTCTCTCATTCCCACTGTCTCATTTATCTTCATTCTCTCCTTGTCTACTGGCTGCTTCCCTGCTGCTAAGAAACATGCGCAATGTCTCTCCTGTCCTCAAAATCCTCTCACTTGATCCATCCATCCCTGCTAGATTTTGTCTCATATCTTCCCTCTATTTGTGACTAAACTTCTTAATATTAGGCCATCTGCATACAGTACTTCCATTGTATTTCTTCTTACTCTCTTAACTCTCTACAGTCTGGCTTCTAGTCTTTCTAGTCAACTCAAACTGCTCTTTCTAAAGTTACTTTAATGATTTCTTAATTGCCAAATGGAATGGCCTTTTCTTAATCCTCATCTTTCTTGAACTCTCGGTGGTCTTTGTCAATCACCCTCTTCTCCTTGATACTCTCTTCTTTCTAGGTTTTCTTGACACTACTTTCTCCTGGTCCTCTTCCTACTGTGGTGGTGAAATCTAAAATAACTGAAGAAACAAAGGCTCAAGCTTCCAAATCTATTGATTTATTAAGCAGTGAATTCCAATTGCATAACAAATTGGGACCAGGCCTCCTCAGCTTGGCGCTGGACACCACATATAGTGGGAGACAGATTTATATGCATTAAAAGATAAAATTAGGTAATCTCTTCTAGATTTTGAAGTGGGGACAGTGAACAGGTGGACTTTTCTGGATGTTAAACAGGATGTTACTCAATTCTCATCATTAGCAAGCAGGTGGAATTTACAGAAAAATGAAACTTAGGTCTCAAAATGGGGTCAGTTTTACAAGATGGAGTCATTTTGGTTCATACAATTCCCACACTTCTTTCAAATGCCCCTTTTGATTCATAGGGGAGGGACCAGCCCACTCCCTCCCATAGTTCCCTTAAATGTAAGCCAAATTTATAAAGTTTTTGATGTGCTCATTCTCACTGTCAATATTATATAATAAGAAAAGACCACTGGGAAGCATCTTCTCTCGTAACTTAGTACAACAGCTATCACAGAGTTTAAGAGCAATAATAATGGGAGCGGCTAGGTGGTACAGTGGATAGAGCACCAGCTCTGGAGTCAGGAGAACCTGAGGTCAAATCTGGCCTTAGGCACTTACTAGCTGTGTGACCCTGGGCAAGTCACTTAATTCTGATTGCCTCAGGGAAAAAAAAAAGAACAATGATGACAATATACAAACCTTGTTAAATAGACTAAAAGTAAACTAAATTGGGCTACAGATTAAACCACTTAGAGGACTCAGAATAGATCAGTTTTAGGAGTGGAGAGTTATGTGTCACCAAGGTAACCAAGAAAACAGCATAAATACCAAGAAACAAAAAGCTAAAACAATATAATGATGATCATCAATATTAAATAACATCAGCTCTCCTGGTATCCTAGTAACCTACTATCAATGTTTGTTTATTTATTTATGTATTTTAGGCAATTGGGGTTAAGTGACTTGCCCAGGGTCACACAGCTAGTAATTGTCACGTATTTGGTCTGAGATCGGATTTGAACTCAGGTCTTCCTGACTTCAAGGCTGATGCTCTATCCACTGTGCCACCCAGCTGCCCCCAACCAGTGTATATTTCATCAACATCTTGAGTCAGATGTTCCATGTAGTTGTCTAGTCCCTGGAAATAGCTTTTCTTGGACATTCTGGAATAGACCTCCTTCTTAGGACAGTTCTGAAGGAGGCTCTCCCTCTTTGGTTCCAGATCACTTGCAGAGATTCTTAGGTAATTCTGCTAAAATCTGCCTATAACAAGACAATCCCAATTTAGTGCAGCTTCCTTAATTTGGTTTTCGAAACCTGAAACTTTAGAGAATTTTAGTTTTTATGTACTACTTGCTAAACCCTGTATGTGATCTAAGAAACTTTTAAAAAAAAGTTCACGAGTGTCTAACTTGTAAAATGAACCTGTCTTTTAAAAATTATCAGACAGATACCTGAAAAATGAGAAAATAATTGCATTTTCTTTACAATTATCAGTGTAATTTTATGTGTAAAATCTTAATCCAATGTTGAGAACTCATTTCTAAAACATAAGCAAAGGCTGAATTTCCATATTAGTTACATTTTGAAGTCAAAAGTCATTATACACACACACATACACACACACACACACATATACACACACAAAATAGAGAAAACAGTCTAATACTGTTGCTTTCTCAAAACTTACTATTCCATTAAGTAGAAAACTTTTACATTGCATCTTTGTCTTATTACTTTGTCTAATTCCCCTCTTAGGAGTATGTCATTCTTATATTATAATTTGACCACAAATATAGATTAATATTGTAAGATATTTCATATTTGCATCATATTACAGTAACTCAGAGATGTTCCAGTATCAATCTGTTAATTAACAGATTTAATTTTATACTTATAAACCTCTACTGCTCATCGGGCCAGATTATAGAAATTTACTAAGAAGGAAAAGGAGGGACGTAGTTATAGCAGTGTCAAGACTTGTCCCCTCCAGGGTGCAGACTAACCTGACATCAACTATAACAGGAAGAACTACCTTATCTCTGTTTGATACCAAGCATGAGTCATATCTGATAGCCAGTCATGTGGTAAAGCTCCACATTATTCACAGGATATCAAAAGCCAGGCTCAGGTTTAACCAGGTAGGGTAATTTCCTATGCAGAAAGGCAGTAGCATAATGGGGAAATTGAGTCAATAAGGTCCGACCTTAGGTCATACCAAGGTTATCCTCTCAACTTTTCCCAGGGACAGAAATCCACAGACATCCAGTTCTCAGACTGCATCACATGCCATTTTCTTGTCTTGTCTTCATGATAATCCCTGTAATTCTAACTCAGGAGAACATTGTACACAGTAACAGCCACATTGTGCAATGACTAATGTCGATAGCCTTAGCTCTTCTCAGCAATGCAAGGATCTAAGACATCTCCAAAGGTCTCATGATGGAAAATGCTATCCACATCCAAAGAAAGAACTAAGGAGTTTGAATGCAGATTGAAGCATATTATTTGCTGTTTTTTTTCTTCTATTTTGTTTCCTCTTTCTGATGGTTCCTCCTATTGGTTCTAATACTTCCTTACAATATCACTAATGTGAAAATATGTTTAATAGGAATGTATATGTATAGCTTATATCAGATTGTGAGCTGTCCTGGGGGGAGAAGGGGGAAGGGAGAAGGAGAAAAATTTAACACTCAAAAGGTTGTGGAAGTGATTGATGATAAATCAAAATAAATTAATGAGAGACTCTTCTAGTGCTGAGCCTAGAATCAGGAAAATTCGTCTTCCTGATTTCAAATCCAATCTCAGACACTTACGAGCTGTGTGATCCTGAGCAAGTGACTTAACCATGTTTACCTTAGTTTCCTCATCTGTAAAATAAGTGGGAGAAAGAAATGGCAAACCACTCCATTATTTTTGCTAAGAAAACCCCAAATGGGGTCACAAAGAGTTGGACATGACTGAAACAACTGAATAATGACAACAAAAGTTCCTGGTCACCTCCTCCTCTCTTGTCATTGTGAATATCTATCCCTATTATCCAGAACAGGGTGTGAGCCAAGATGATGGTTGGGTGAGTTAGGCCTCTTTGGTTTAAATCACCCTTTCTATTCCTTAATTAAATTTTGCTCATCTTTTAAGTTACTCCCTAATTTAAACCAGCTTTTCTCTTTTGATGGTCAAGAAAGGTTTA